TTTTTACAGAGAAGAAGGGAGAGGGATAGAGAGTTAGAAACATCGATGAGAGAGATCGATCAGCTGCCTCCTGCACAGCCCCCAGTAGGGATGTGCCTGCAACCCAGGTACATGCCCTTGACCGGAATCGAACCTGGGACCCTGTCCTCCGCAGGTCGACGCTCTATCCACTGAGCCAAGCCGGTCCGGCAATGTGTTAACATTTTTAAAAAAATATATTTTATTGATTTTTTACAGAGAGGAAGGGAGAGGGATAGAGTTAGAAACATCAATGAGAGAAACATCGATCAGCTGCCTCCTGCACGCCCCCCCACTGGGGATGTGCCCGAAACCAAGGTACGTGCCCTTGACTGGATCGACGCTCTATCCACTGAGCCAAGCCGGTCCGGCAATGTGTTAACATTTTTAAAAAAATATATTTTATTGATTTTTTACAGAGAGGAAGGGAGAGGGATAGAGTTAGAAACATCAATGAGAGAAACATCGATCAGCTGCCTCCTGCACGCCCCCCCACTGGGGATGTGCCCGAAACCAAGGTACGTGCCCTTGACTGGAATCGAACCTGGGACCTTTCAGTCCACAGGCTGACGCTCTATCCACTGAGCCAAACCGGTTAGGGCTGTGTTAACATTTTTATGGAACTCACGTGGGATCCAGGCAGATGTTATATGTTATACATATGGAGGCAAATTGATTTTACCACTAGGGAGGACTGTCAATGGAACCTCTGTTGGAAGGGCTGGAATTTGCAAGTCTTCAGATAAGAGTGTTTTGCTATTACTATCAGCTGTTTACAATTTAGAGCAGTAAAATCTTTCAAAGAAAATGCTAATACTATGAATCAGACAGCCAGGGAGGGTGTGTTGTATAGAGATGATGCACTGAGTGATGGTAACTGAGTCACTGAAACTGCAAAATTTTCTTTGCAGGCCCTAGCAGGTTTGGCTCAGTGGATAAAGCGTCAGCCTGCGGACCAAAGGGTCCCGGGTCCGATTCCGGTCAAGGGCACGTACCTCGGTTGCAGGCTCCTTCCCGGCCTGGGCCCTTCCTGGTCAAGGCGCTTGCAGGAGGCCACCAATCGATGTGCTTCTTTCACATCAATATTTCTCTCTCTTCCACTCTCTAAAAATCAATGGAAAAATATCCTCACGTGAGAATTAAAAAACAAACAAGTTTTTTCTTTGCAGAAATAATTCCTTCATTTAACAAACACCTAGAGCAGTGGTTCTCAACCTTGGCTGCACATGAGAATCACCTGGGAATCTTGTTAAAATCCTGATTTCTGGGCCCCATCCTCCGGAAATTCT